AAAATAAGATTACTTACAAGGTAAAGATAAGGAATGAGAGCTTCTGTGGCTTACTAACAGTTTAGGTACAGTTAAAATAGTAGATTGTGGAGTTTGGATATATCGTTCGTAGCAGTCTGAGCTCCACCGTCCTAGGACTTTAATTAGCCATGCAGGGACGCCTGCTGCGGCTGCAGATGTGGCGGCCCCGATGCGGAAGCTGTGGGCGTAGAAGTTGTTGGACGGGAAGCCGCATTGCTGTAGAATAAACCGGAGCTCCTTGGTGAGGCATGAGCGGGTTGGCCATGAGCCAGATTGAGAGAACGTAAATAAAGGACGGCTTGCTGGAGGCTGGGCTTGGAGGATGTAGCCTTTCATCGCCATCACAGAACAGATGGGTGAGGTGGACTTTGCTATGGTGAGGGTGCATCCTTGGCGGAAGGGGTCGGTTTTGGATTGTTTTATCCTAACCCGCATAAGGGAAGGGGATTGCAAATCGGGGTGGAAGGTTATATCTTGGGAAGTGAGATGAACCTCAGGGTTGAAGGGGCCATTACAGGTGAACTCACTAGTACGTAAAAAGGCGGAGAATGCTAGGGTGAAGGCTGCCCAAAGCATAATATGGTCTAAATTAGTACTCAGTGCAGGGCGGAGATAGTTGTGGATTGCAGTGAGGATTTGGGTAGTGATCGGGAAGCGATCGCGTCTTGTTAAGGGGGCTAGGCGTTTTATACCTGTCAGGACTTTTTGAAGACGATGCATTTTGTTGATATGGAGCGGTAAGTTGCACTCACGATGGAGGTCTTGAACAGCAACCAAATAGAGTTTGACTGTGTCATATGAAACGGTTTTGGCTAAGTGAGAGGCAAAATAAATGAGAGTCATTTCTGATGCTGGCAATAGGGGGTTAGAGGGGCCCACCAATCCATGCATGAGGTTGAAGGTTAAGAAATGTTTTTGACCTGCCTGGTAGGTTCGCCTTGTGGAGGGGGCGAGAGAGGCATGGAAGTATTGCTGTACAGAGGCTGTCAGATGAGCATCGCTGATGAAGGGATGACGCAGGGAGTGAGAGAGGCTGTGGGAGCCAGGGCTCCGAAACGATCCATCTGAAAACGGGAAAGGGAGTCAGCAATAGCATTATCCAGCCCAGGTATGTGGGTAGCGCTAATAGTAAAGTTATTACTGAGGGTAAGGAGGGTGATGCTGCGGACAAGGTCCATTATCCGGGGAGACTTGCAGTGTTTGGAGTTGAGGATGGCTACCACTGACTGATTGCCGTACCACATTAGGATACGCTTCCCCGACCAGGTGGGGCCCCACAGGACACATGCCAGGTAAATGGGGAATAACTCCTGCCATTCGATACTGATGCCCCGGTTTTTGTTGAGGGTGTGTTCTGGTAGCCAGTGACCCTGGAACCATAGCCCGTCTAGGAACCCTCTATAGCCTATGGACCCAGAGGCATCTGTGAAAAGTTGGAGGTCGGGGGTTTTGGAGACATGGGAATCAAGAAAAATGCTTACCCCATTCCAGTGTTCTAGGAAATCAACCCACATCTTGATGTCCTTACGGAAACCAGCATTGAGTTTGATGTGCCAGTGGGGGGGATGGGTACCCATAGTAAGGTGGATGATACGTTGGAGGAAGGGAGGACCTGGGGCAATCACCCGGCATGCGAATTGGGGAGTGCCTATTAGGGATTGAAGTTCTCGGAGGGTTGCTGATTTTTTAAGGGACCACTGATGGAGGGCCTGTTTGGCACGAGCGAGCTTGTCTTGTGGGAGGCGGGCCTCCATCGTATGGGAGTCTAGGAGGATACCCATGAATTCCAGGGAGGTAGAGNAGTGGCGAAGGATCGGCACAAACGAGAAGACTGAATACAACGAGGAGCGTGTGCTTGACTAGAGGTCAGGGGCATGAGGTGGACATGTGAGAGACATGATTGGAACCATTGATACACTGTCTTTTACAGATGTAGATAACAGTGGCTTTACTTAGGAAATGAAAGGTTTGTTGTGATATCCAAAGGGGGTGATTGTTTTCAACTGGGAATCCCTGATGAACTTTGAGATCAGGAATTGGTGGCATGTTACCTATGTTACTGGGATTTACTTATGAGCATGACACGAGGTTCATAGTGTTACATGTCTCTGAAATAAAGCGTTGCAATGCAGAATGTGTGTGCCTGACTTTGAGACATTGTCTCTCGGGTCTCATTAACATCAGTTTATGGATGCCATAAACTTACACGAAAATCAAGTGTTACAAACAAAGAACTAGGATGTAAAACCTAAACGAACGCAGCTGACTTGATAAGCCGAGAAGAGATTGGCCAATTGAAAACTAAAAAATAGAACAATCTTAAGCAACAGTTAACGCGAGAGCTATCTAGGGGAGGTAGAAGTCAAGGTCCAAAGAGCGACACAACCATGTACACATGTGAACGTCCGAGCACAAAGTTCTAGAATGCAATGTTTCCAAGTAAAAGGGAAGAGAACTGAATGTTCTACACATGTAAGTTACCCTTGACTTGTCAAAACTAAATTTTCTCAAAAATATGCTTTCTAAATATTTTGCTCCACAACAAACTGAATTCAAAGGAATGCCCACTCTCAGTGTTATTTTTCTTTGTGTACTCTTTTATCAAAAATGTGTTTTCTAAATATTTTTCTCCACAACAAATTCAAAGGAGTGCCCACTCTGTTATTTTCCTATGTGTACTCTTTTAACATTTTTCTCTTTCATCGCTCGGAGTGATATTTAGCCCTTAAGAGTCGTAAAGTCAGTGTGTAGCTTACTTGGTGCAAAGAAAAGCGCTTTTCATTGACACCGTTTTCATAAATTCATTCATCTAAATAATGCGATAAATCATATAACCACAGATCTGAGTGACCAGTTCTTTAACAAAACTCGATATAACCTCCAGATACATTCCTTGAGCTCGCGGTACCCACCTTTTCCAAAAAGGTTGATTTTCCCTTATAAACACATTTGCCTCATGGTGTTAGACATCGAAATTTTATGGCAATTTGAGTGGGATTTTAAAAAGAAAATTTAAATAAAGAAGTGTTTTAATTCATAGATCTTACTTGGTACTTCGCTTAACTACTTGAAATTAAATATGTTTAGTCCGCCGAGACTTAAACTATATGTACCTCGTGACTTGATAAAATCCGATTTCGAGCTGCTGATTCAGTCTCTCTTTTTTTGTTAATAAACCATTTGATGGCTGCCAATGACGGATTAGAACCACGTTGAGTTAATGCAGAGTATCAGGTACAACGAAAAGAAAATTCGAATCAAAGGTCGGGCGGGTTGTACCACAGCAATATTCATGGTAGGTGAAATGACAGCTAGCAGGTTACCAGCAGGTTGTTCATGAACTTTAAAGGTTTCGAAGTTGAGTAATTTCCTCTTTTAGTTTGCATTGGTCCACGCCCTCCTTTGTAAGCACTCAAAATAATACAGCAAAAAAAGGGTTGGAAAAAAACAACAACAACAACAACAAATAAAAAATAAACTATTCTCTCTTTTTGCTCGATAGAAAGGTGGTCACTTAAAGTGAAAACGATTAAGAAAAGCGTTGTCCGAAAGGGCAATATTTACCTCTTAACCTAGTCAACGCTGTTGTGAGATGAGGAACATAGTTTCTGTGATAATCCTTTCTGATCCTTAGTTTTTAGGTTTTTTTTATAAATTGTAATTTTGATGTTATTGACTACACAATTTCTTCTCAATTTTATGGTGAACTTTTGTTGTGGAGGTCAAAGTTCTGTGGAACGTTTGCTTCAGAAAGTAATTGGCAAAGAATCATTTGAAATAATAAAGAAGTAGGAAAAGACAAAAAAAAAAAACGGTATATTTTAAAAAGTATTATGAACCTGAAATCGTCTATGTAAATGATCTGTTATTTAATCTAAGCAGTAACGACCCTCTGGGCTATTTTGCAAACAAAGATCAGTAAAATCAACATTCTTCAATGGGCAGGCCTTCGACACTCTATACCTGACATTTTTTAAAGGTAATTACACATCACCCCCCTTAAACTCTCCTTCATTTCTGATTAAAAACAACGTCTTTGATGTCAAGAAAAACAAATCGAAAGATTATTATTCACTACTTGTCACGGAAAATGCACAGCCTCCTAACATTATCCATAAATGGAAAAGCGATTTTAACTTTTCGGATGATCATTTGAGAGAATTTTTTTCAGTTACCTCATTCTGTTGCGCTTGAATCTTATGTTAAGGCTTTCCAGTATAAAGTATAGTCTACAGAAATAAAAAAAAATATTCAAAATTGGTTGCAGAACAGACGATATGTGTACTTTTTGTGAGGCCGAACCAGAAACTTTGTACCCTGATATCCTTTGCCAATGCCCTTACTCAAGGCGATTTTGGAACGATTTTGAATCTTATTGGTGCCTTTTATCAAATCAACAGGTTCGTCTTTCTTTGCAGAATGTTATTTTGGTATAATATCTAAGCAATGCCCTTCAACTAAATTACTAAATTACTTTATTATTGTTGGAAAGCTGCTTTTGCTGGACTGCAGAAGAAACCAAATACATCCTAAAATTAAAGGTTATCGAAACAAAATAGCTAAAAAATATGAAACTGAACGTAAATTATAAAAG